CGGGGACACGCCACCCCGGCTCGACGTCCCCCGGGGTTTGCCCGAGAGCCGCCGAACCGCGCGGGTTCCTCCCGTCCCGGAGAGCGTTTACCGCGCTTCCCACCCCTGCCGCTGCTCACAAGTTGTGTTTCAACTAGCTGGACGTAGGCCACTCGATACGCATGCTGATTAGGATGATACAGGCTAATAGATGGATTTTTAAACGTAGATATAGGCAGACAATTAATAAGCATGCTCAGCGTTGTGGCGATTTGCAACAGTTCAATCGGTTTTGTAAATTACTGCAAATTTAGTAATTCACTAATGTTTTCATTAGCATATCTTAGCATATACCTATAGCCAGCCACAAACATATACAATGTATTTACACAGTCACGAGCAGAATCCTGTAGCATACACTGATTACAGTGCATTAAAAGCTTAGTGGGTACATTACGTTTATATAGGACATAGTTAATACCAGCAAAATCAGTGATAAACTTAAATGGCAATTTTGAAAAAAAAACCAAACAAACCCACCACAAAACAAGCCAGGAATAGTGTGTGTGTGTGCATGTGAGATGTTTAGACAACTGACTACAAACTATGGGTAGCTTACCTTTAATTTTTATTTTAGTATGTCCCCCAGAAGCACTGAAAATGCCTGGACAGAGCTGCTGTGGTGCCGAGGAGCTGCTGGAGTGAGTCTCCAAAGAGTGGTAGAGGGGGATGCAGCTCTGTCCTTATTAGTCTCACACAGTATGACCCTCCCCCTCAGTGAGCACAGAATACTCTGCAAGAAAGGACAAACAGCCACCCAGACACAGATTTTACATAATCATACTTGTATATCCCAAGTCCAGTAACAATGTAAGAAATGCTTTTTTTCTCCTTCCCCCTAACCGCCCCCCAAAAAAAAAAACCCAAACAAAAAAGAGTTCCATAAATTAAACTGCCAGAGTGTGAACGCATGAATGAAAGAGTATCTGGTTTCTAGTTGTAAGAACCAATTATGTACATTAGCACACCGGCAGAAACTAGCTTTTATCACTGAAGTGTAAGCACACATCATTAATTTTATATACTTTATCATAAATTTAAAAATCAGCCACCCAAGTAACCAAGAGAGTGCACCTCTTTATGGCACTGATGCTACAAAGCACAGCTGATTACTGACATTTGTTTTGCCTTTTAAAATCTATCATTTACAAACCTGAATGTTCTTGCACCGTAATATCCTCTGTCTGTGATGAAATGGTGAGAATGAGCACAGCCACTGGCTCTCATCTGAATGTGCAAAACTGCACTTTTCTCAGGTTCTCCAAGTGTGCTTGTGGCAGTTTTCCATATCGCATTTTAAAGATGTAAACCAGATAGAAGGACGGAGAAAAGTAAAATGACTAGAAACAGATACACAGAAGACAGAGAGAGTAGGGCTTTAATTAAAACAGATCTCATTTATGTATATCCAAGACATATTTTATCTTTTTCTAGTAGAATCATTCTGATGGGAAAAAAAGGAAAGCGGTTACTATTATATGAAAATTTATTAGCTTAACATCAATTTAGCCCAACTGGTCTTCAGATCAGAAAATTCATAGGGTTAGCTTTTTGCCCCCACCCCCACCCCAGCCCCCCATCAGATAACAGATTTTGAAAAGTGTTTCCTCATTTCAACCAAGGTAACTAGCCAGGATAACCAACAAATCACATGGAAAGACATGATTATCTTTCTGGTTTAAATTTCAAAACAGTTGTTGTTCTTCCCAACTTAGAATCATGAGAGAAAGATGAAATTGCAGCTTACATACATGTCTGCTAGGGTGTTTTATTCCACAACTTTGCCAGACTTGTGGTCTAACTTACGCAAGTCACACTTCTCGCTTGCTCATCTGTAAATTATAGAAAGTAAAGCTGCCTTACCTCGCAGGGCGAGGCGCAAGAGCCCAGTCCTACAGCAGACAAATGATCGGAGCACTCCCTTCCCCTTCAGACTGTGCATTTGATAAAGGCTTCAGTGTTGAGCCCTAATTCAGTGTTTCAAGCAGAGTTGTGAGATCCTCAGTTGAAAGACCCTTTGTAAAATCTCAGCTCCTAGTGAAAGGCATTATCATTTTTGACTGCAAAAGAACTGCATTTCTCATTGCTCTTTCAAGCTACGAAATTCTTAAAATCTTTTTGTTTTACTTCATTTTACATGCCCTAAATATCTGGATTCAGCTGTGTTACATGAATATACAGTGTCTTATTAATTTCAATGAATATAAGTTCTGAATTAGCTAAACATTTTAACTGCATAACACTTTGCACATGCAATCTGTTCATCCTTTAAAGAAATATTTCTGTCCCTCAAGTTTCGGCACTGCTCAAAAGTCCAGATCCAAACTGGGTCTTCGTTTCCTATGAAGCAATAATGAAACATAACCCCTAAACCAAGGATGTTGTTCCACTTACCGAGAAGTTGACACTCCAAATGGAAAATTAGAAATACCTTATTTGGACCATGTCAACTTCAAAACACTCCACATCCATATGAAAGCAGTAAGTAGAAGAATTAGAAACTACTACTACCTTCCCTGGCTAACACATATACTTCCTGTACCCTGGCCCAGATCTTCAACTAAACAGGATTATGCCAGTTCATATAAATCAAAGGAATTACACCGATTTATACTAGTTGAGGACCTCGACATTAGGGGCTGCCACCATACGTATTTATGGACAACACCGTTCGCTTTAATGAATACAGTCTTGAATGTCTAGTGACATGAAAATTGGGAACAAGGACAACCTTACTGTTTCCAAACTTCTGTCACGAGCCAAAAAAAATGGCTTCTCTCTCTGCCTCCCACAATACAAGAAGCAAAGCCACAACTGGCAAAACATCTCTGTTCTCATGAACAGCTTAGAAATCCCAACCACCTGCACTCTTGTTCACCTGCGAACAGCTACTGGTGCACTCCAGAGAAAACAGTCTATACATCATCCCATCTCCTTTGTATCCGGGAAGTACTGGAAAAACGGATGATACGAGCTGAAGCACTCACAGCAAATGGATGATATCCCATGTTATCTTTGCAGCAACACAGTTTTCCAGCTATCTCAGAGTTTAGCTAAAGCACTTACTTGCACACTGAAGACGGGATTAGATCTGGATCCAGGCAAGAGCCAAGGCAAATACACCAAGAAGCAGAAAAGAGAGAAATTTCAGTTTGAAACTATACTTAGCACAGATGTGCAGAGCACGTTCCATCTCCTGTGCCAAGGGTGAACTGCACTGAACAGCTTTTACTACAACTGCAGTTGCAGGCAAGATGCAGGGG